TATAGCGAGAGGGAGATACGGGAAAGGGGAAAGATGAAGGATTATGCGAAAGGGTAGGGGAGATACGGGAAAGAAAAGAGCGAAAGGGAAGAAATAGGTCAACGGGTTCAGCGCCAAAAATTTTCATTATTCACCTATTTTTCATTATTCACCGCCAAAATTATCAAGTTTGCGTGACGTAGGTATACAATTTGACGTCGCGCAAAGTGGTTTTGCGCGACGATTACATTAAAGCGTCACGCAAGTTATTTTTTATTTTTAAAAAATTATTAAAAATTTTACTGAAAATGTGATTTTACTCCATTCAAGTTCAATTCTTCTTTTTTTTACTTAAACCCCACAATAATATATTTTTCTAACAAAAATCCATAATAATTTTTTAACATATATATCATTCAATCTCTTAAGTGTTATAACTACAAAATAAATAAATTAAAATCTACATAGTAAATATATATACCACTGAACTTGAAAGGAAACGCACTGTACGAAAATATTTTGAACGATCCAACCGTCAAACTTGTTTGTATATGATTCGAGATCGCGTATGCCAAAAATGGCAACAAACGAACATGCAAATATCAAGTAACGGGGACAAAATATTTCGACGGTTATAAACGAAAAATCACGATTTAACGGTACATTTAACTCCGATTTTGATGATTTTTTACAGATACATTCCTTGACCCTTTATGAATACAATGAACATATTCGATCGTCAATTTAAAGTATTTACACAAGTGGATACCACAAAATATTAAGTTATACTTAATGAAAATATAATTAAACTTTAAGTGTTAGTAAACCAATTGTTTTGATAGGAAACGCATTGTACGAAATTAATTTCAACGATCCAACCGTCAAACATGTTTTTATATGCTTCAAGATCTCATACGCCAAGAATGGCAAAAAACGAACATGCAGAGATCAAGCAACAAGACAAAATATTTCGACGGTTATAAACGAAAAATCACGATTTAGCGGTACATTTAACTCCGATTTTGATGAATTTTTACAGATACACTCCTTGACCCTTTATGAATACAATGAACATATTTGATCGTCAATTTAAAGTATTTACACAAGCGGATACCACAAAATATGAAGTTATACTTAATGAAAATATAATTAAACTCTAAGTGTAGTAAATCAATTGTTTTGATGGGAAACGCATTGTACGAAATTAATTTCAACGATCCAACCGTCAAATATGTTTTTATATGCTTCAAGATCTCATACGCCAAGAATGGCAAAAAACGAACATGCAGAGATCAAGTAACATGACAAAATATTTCGACGGTTATAAACGAAAAAATCACGATTTAGCGGTACATTTAACTCCGATTTTGATGAATTTTTACAGATACACTCCTTGACCCTTTATGAATACAATGAACATATTCGATCGTCAATTTAAAGTATTTACACAAGCGGATACCACAAAATATGAAGTTATACTTAATGAAAATATAATTAAACTCTATGTGTTAGTAAATCAATTGTTTTGATGGGAAACGCATTGTACGAAATTAATTTCAACGATCCAACCGTCAAACATGTTTTTATATGCTTCAAGATCTCATACGCCAAGAATGGCAAAAAACGAACATGCAGAGATCAAGCAACAAGACAAAATATTTCGACGGTTATAAACGAAAAATCACGATTTAACGGTACTTTTAACTCCGATTTTGATGATTTTTTACAGATACACTCATTGACCCTATATGAATACAATGAACATATTCGATCGTCAATTTAAAGTGTTTACAGAAGCGGATACCACAAAATATTAAGTTATACTTAATGAAAATATAATTAAACTCTATGTGTTAGTAAATTAATTATTTTGATGGGAAACGCATTGTACGAAATTAATTTCAACGATCCAACCGTCAAACATGTTTTTATATGCTTCAAGATCTCATACGCCAAGAATGGCAAAAAATGAACATGCAGAGATCAAGCAACAAGACAAAATATTTCGACGGTTATAAACGAAAAATCACGATTTAGCGGTACATTTAACTCCGATTTTGATGAATTTTTACAGATACACTCCTTGACCCTTTATGAATACAATGAACATATTCGATCGTCAATTTAAAGTATTTACACAAGCGGATACCACAAAATATGAAGTTATACTTAATGAAAATATAATTAAATTCTAAGTGTAGTAAATCAATTGTTTTGATGGGAAACGCATTGTACGAAATTAATTTCAACGATCCAACCGTCAAACATGTTTTTATATGCTTCAAGATCTCATACGCCAAGAATGGCAAAAAACGAACATGCAGAGATCAAGTAACATGACAAAATATTTCGACGGTTATAAACGAAAAATCACGATTTAGCGGTACATTTAACTCCGATTTTGATGAATTTTTACAGATACACTCCTTGACCCTTTATGAATACAATGAACATATTCGATCGTCAATTTAAAGTATTTACACAAGCGGATACCACAAAATATGAAGTTATACTTAATGAAAATATAATTAAACTCTAAGTGTTAGTAAATCAATTGTTTTGATGGGAAACGCATTGTACGAAATTAATTTCAACGATCAAACTGTCAAACATGTTTTTATATGCTTCAAGATCTCATACGCCAAGAATGGAGAATGTTTTGAAGAGAGATGGGGGAGGGAGGTAACTGAACTTTGCGCGACGCCACCTACGTCACGCAAAACAGCTTTGCGTGACGTAGGTCAACCTCCGTCACGCTAAGCTGGTTTGCTTGACGTAGGTGGCCTTGCGTCGCGCAAAGTCAATGAAAAAAACGGTAAAGCAATCTATATTTGGCGCCAAAATCTTGCGGGACGCACAAAACGTCGCACAAACGGCCTTTGCGTGACGGCAAGTTGCGCGACGTCGGTCTTGGTCGCGCAAAACAAGTTTGCGCGACGTAGGTTCAGTTAAGTCGCGCAAAACACCTTTGTGTGACGTCGGTCTTCGTCGCGCAAACTTCCGTCGCGCAAAGTCCGTTTGCGCGACGCTTTGTGTTTGACGTCACGCAAACATACTTTGCGCGACGAATTTGGCTGCGTCGCGCAAGTTTTCGTCGCGCAAAGTGTTTTTTCTACTAGTGGGTTCTGAAATTTGAGTTTGATTCTAGTTTTAAACGAATTAGTCTGTTAGAAATTTTGAGTTGCATGAGAGTAATCTTAATTATTCATTTAAACTGAATGATCAACAATAATAAAAAAAGGGAAAAAAAAAAAGAAAAAAAAAAGCATTTATCGTATTCTTGATGAACGTAAAAATGTTCTACCTTTGGATTTAAAAAGTTTCCACAGCTGTCAACCGACCTTGATCTATCATTCTTTATTTCTGCCGACAACTTAAAAAGCAAAGAACAAATTAGGAGAATAAGGGGAATGGATGGTAGTAAATATGCGAATTTTAACGAAAAGCTTTCGGTACTGTTTATTTTAACGAAAAATCATATTTTTACATTAAAAAGTCAATCATGATACTATTCACTTTATCATTTATTTTGTCCTTATTGTAAAACTCAAAGTTTTCAAGCCCTCTTCATTAGTTTTCCTTAAATATTATGCTAAATTAGTGCAATGGGAGTACTTTAAACCATTTGATTAATTGGCTACCTAAAAACCATCACTTGGTTAGATATTACTAAACCCTATACACATGTTGTTTTGTTTATGTGCATGCATGCATTGCAAAATTATATTGAGAGAATGAAAGAGTGAAAATTGGGTTAGATGCATGATAGGATAAGGATAGCCTGGTGGGATGCATTTGGATTTCGATATTAGAATGAACAAAAGAAATTTTATATCGTGAAATTTTCGATATATAAAATTTTGGGTTTCTAGTGCATAAGGTTTGCGTTTTTATAAGGGCTGTAAATCAGTTAGTTGGAGCTTGACAATGAAAGAAACAAGAAAAGTTTATATTCAGCTGGATAAGAATTAAGTTGGTATGTTTGATTCGTCAAACTTGTGAGCAACCGTATTCTTTCATGAGACATAAGGAACTATATTATAAAATTCTTGAACAAAAGGTCATACTTGTGATTTTTCTTTTGAAGAATCATGTTTACATTTGTTCTAAGGTTAGATTGACCATCTTTAGTTTGACATTAATTTTAGAAGGAGATTGATATTAAGTCTTCTTTTTTTTTCGCTTCTACCGAAATTTTATAAACTTTAAGAGCCGAACATGCTAATGCTAAAGATTTTGTTTGTTTCCATTATGAGCAAGGCTCAATATTGTTAAATATCCTATATCGACCGTATTTCTGAGAAAAGAAGAGTTTAAATATCTTAACCCTACTCCAACTAACATTGAAACCTTTTGTGATAAAACCTCACACTTGTAGGACTCTGCAAGTGGTAATTAACAAGTTGGAGACAATATCGATGTTGTTGAAAGTGGGTCTTTGTTCCTTCACTCTAATACTTTGACATGGTATCAGAGTCAGGGAGCGGGCTCGTACTGCACGCGATGGGTGGGTTCCCTTGGCCCCACGCGATGATGGTGGGTCCCTTGGCCTAGGGTGAGTCCCCTTGGCTCCACGTGATTGTCGATGTGTGGATCACTCATGTGTGACCCACTAATTGTCTCCCACGTGACGGAGTATATTGAGATATCTCACATCAACCGTATCTCTGAGAAAAAAAAGAGTTTAAATATCTTAACCTCACTACAACTAATAGCGAGGCTTTTTGTGATAAAAACCTCACACCAGTCGGACTATGCAGGTGATAACTACCAAGTTAGGGACAATATCGGTATTGTTGAAAATAGATTTTTGATCCATTTCTCTGATAATTAGAAATGATATCAGAGTCAGGCCAAACAAATTCACAATCCTAACCGAACTTTCATCTCAATCGGGCCAGGATTTTTAAGCCTATTCCGATCGTTGGGTCTAGGACAATGCCAACATGCCCATCAAAACAGGAGTTGGGCTATTGAGGCCAGGCAACTAGTTCAAGTTGATTCACATGGATTTTTGCCCGTCAGATTTAAAAGACAAGTTTGCTAATTGAGATCATGTGGTGTGTCAACTCAAAACATGCCAACAATACTCAAAACCAGCTTTTTCCTTAAGCACTTTTCCTACTGTAGCGTTTCGCGTTGTAAGATCCACTGCTCATATCTGTCCACTCAAGCTTGTTCAAAACCCCAAAGCGTGTCCAAAAGCAGAAAAGCCAGCAGCTTTCTTGTTTACTGTAATTCCCAGATCACCCAAAACGGAAGAAATGGTGATATCAAACAAGCCGAATCAATATTCAATCGCATGCCCGAGAAAAACACTATTTCCTGGACTGCTATGCTCACTGCATATGCCGAAAACGGCCAAACTTCCAAAGCACGTAAACTGTTCGATGAAATTCCCCAACGAAACATAGCATCGTATAATGCGATGATCACGGCTTATATTAGAAATAAGTATATGGTAGGTGAAGCTTTTGAGTTGTTTTCTGGGATGCCGGAGCGCAATGAGGTGTCTTATAGTGCCATGATCACGGGTTTTGTAAAGGCGGGGATGTTTGACAAGGCTGAGAAGCTTTACTGCGAAATGCCAGTTAGGTGGCGGGAACCAGTTTGTTCAAATGTTTTGATAAATGGGTATTTGAAGGTTGGAAGAACTGAAGACGCAGTTCGAGTTTTTGAGGGTATGATAAATAGCAATGTGGTTTCTCAGAGCTGTATGGTTGATGGGTATTGCAAAATGGGAAGGATTATTGATGCTAGAAATTTGTTTGATCAGATGCTGGAGAGGAATGTGGTTACTTGGACAGCACTGATTGATGGCTATATGAAGATGGGAATTTTTGAAGCCGGGTTTGAATTGTTCTTGGATATGAGTAGGGAAGGGCTAGTGAAGGTCAATAGCACTACAATGGCTGTACTGTTTGAAGCTTGTGGCAGCTTTGATAGATATCAAGAAGGGATTCAGATGCACGGGTTAGTTTCTCGTAAGGGGTTTGACTATGATGTCTTTTTAGGAAATTCTGTTATCATTATGTATTGTAGATTTGGATGTATGAATGAAGCTTCTAAGGTATTTAATATGATGAACAAGAAAGATGTAGTTTCCTGGAATTCCTTAATTGCGGGTTATGTTCAATGTGCTGAAACTGAAGAAGCTTTTAGATTGTTTGAGGTGATGCCTGCAAAGGATATATTCTCGTGGACGACCATGTTATCGGGATTCTCCTGCAAAGGGATGACTGAGAAAGCCATGGAGTTGTTCAAAATGATGCCTGAGAAGGATGATGTTGCTTGGACTGCCGTAATTTCGGGTTTTGTAAATAATGGGCAATATGAAGAGGCTCTCATTTGGTTTATTCAGATGCGTCGAGAGGAAATCAGGATCAATCCCCTTACTTTGAGCAGTGCACTCAGTGCTTCTGCCAGTTTGGCCAGTATAAACGAGGGGATGCAGATCCATGCTCTTTCATTTAAGATGGATATGGAGTTTGAATTATCCGTTCAAAATTCTCTGGTCTCTATGTATTCAAAGTGTGGGAACACTGTTGATGCCAATCATATCTTCAGAAGTATCACTTCGCCCAATACTGTTTCATTCAACTCATTGATTACAGGGTTTGCGCAAAATGGGTTTGGGAAAGAAGCTCTTAACTTATTTCGGAGCATGCAGAATGAAGATTGCGAGCCAAACCAAATCACCTTTCTGGGTGTTCTTTCAGCCTGCGTCCACATGGGACTAGTAGAAGAAGGATGGCAGTATTTTAATTCGATGAAATTGGAACACAATATAGAACCAGGACCGGATCACTACGCTTGCATGGTTGATCTCCTTGGTCGAGCTGGTTTGCTACATGAAGCTGTCGATTTGATTCATTCAATGCCGTTTGAGCCCCATACCGGGGTTTGGGGAGCTCTTCTTAGTGCTAGCAGGACTCATTTATGTCTTGATCTTGCACAGCTTGCAACTCGAAAGCTAATCAGATTGGAGCCTGATGACGCGACCCCTTATGTGGTCTTGTCTAATTTATATTCTACTTTAGGGAAAATGAAGGATGGAAACCAAGTGATGATGACCAAAAAATCAAGGGGGATAAGGAAGAGTCCAGGCTGCAGCTGGATTACAGTGAAGGACAAGGTTCATTTGTTTCTTGCAGGAGATCAATCCCATTTGGACTCGCAAGCAATTAAAGGATTACTCTCGATCATATCAATGGAAATGGGACAGCTACATTTTTATAGATGATAATTCTATGAAATTTTCTATGTATTCGTCTTCTCAATCATCAAGGTGTTGGGATCCTTCCGCTGTTATGTACTTAAGTAATTATACTACGAGGCCTTGTTCGGACGGAAACCATTGTTCGTCGGAGATTTGAGTAGAAGCTGTTGCTTATTTGCCTAAACTTGGTTTGGTGAGGGATAATCTGGTATGGTTTTTCGCCAATATATCTCTGAAAGAAGTGAAGTGTTGGGTTCTCACGCAAACAGATTAATACTTCATGCAGTCCTGCTGGAAGAGTTAATTGGTAAAAATACTTGGACTGTCATGCACTCCTGCTAGAAGAGTTAATTGGTTAAAAAAGGCCATCAGTTTCTTTCAATATTTTACCCTAATGGAAAAGCAATGTTAGCAATAGATCCTCACCCACAACAACAACAACAACAACAAAGCCTTTTCCCACTAAGTGGGGTCGGCTATATGAATCCTAGAACGCCATTGCGCTCGGTTTTGTGTCATGTCCTCCGTTAGATCCAAGTACTCTAAGTCTTTTCTTAGAGTCTCTTCCAAAGTTTTCCTAGGTCTTCCTCTACCCCTTCGGCCCTGAACCTCTGTCCCGTAGTCACATCTTCGAACCGGAGCGTCAGTCGGCCTTCTTTGCACATGTCCAAATCACCAGAGCCGATTTTCTCTCATCTTTCCTACAATTTCGGCTATTCCTACTGTACCTCGGATATCCTCATTCCCAATCTTATCCTTTCTCGTGTGCCCACACATCCCACGAAGCATCCTCATCTCCGCTACACCCATTTTGTGTACGTGTTGATGCTTCACCACCCAACATTCTCTGCCATACAACATCGCTGGCCTTATTGCCGTCCTATAAAATTTTCCCTTGAGCTTCAGTGGCCTACGACGGTCACACAACACGCCGGATGCACTCTTTCCATCCAGCTCGTATTCTATGGTTGAGATCTCCATCTAATTCTCCGTTCTCTTGCAAGATAGATCATAGGTAACGAAAACGGTCGCTTTTTGTGATCTTCGCTAGATTGCTCCGGTCATTAGTGTGGATAAGTATATAAATGGATAGAGATAGGAAAGCAAACACAAGATGTACGTGGTTCACCCAGATTGGCTACGTCCACGGAATAGAAGAGTTCTCATTAATTGTGAAGGGTTTACACAAGTACATAGGTTCAAGCTCTCCTTTAGTGAGTACGAGTGAATGATTTAGTACAAATGACATTAGGAAATATTGTGGGAGAATGATCTCGTAATCACGAAACTTCTAAGTATCGGAGTGTGGTGTCGTCTTGACTTGCCTTATCTGTCTCATAGGTAGATGTGGCATCTTCTCTGGAAGTACTCTTCCTCCATCCAGGGGTGGTATCTTTAACTGGTGGAGATGCACAAGGTAATGTATCAATTTCACTTGAAGCTTACTTGTAGTTTCAGGCTTGGTCAAGCGCGATACAAACCATGTAGTAGGAGTCCCCCAAGTCGCCGGGCTAGGGGGTCTGCTGAAAGAGGTGACAGACAAGGTAAGCAATCAGAGCTCCGACTGATTGTTCACCTTCTCCCCATCTTGCAGCAGCATGAAGGATAAAAGAGAAGAAAAATGAGAAGAGATGATATGAGATACTTTTGTTTTTGAAGAAGTAACTTTCCACAGGCTTATTCTTGAACTGAGCTGGAGGGTTTTCTGGTTTCCTCCAAAGTATAAGGCCGACTGAAGAATTTGAGGGTCAAAACAAGTCCATCAAATCTAGAGTACGTTCCACCCTGCTGATATGGGATACTTTTGCTTTTGACAGAGTAATGGATGTATCGGCACGTGTGCTGTTACGCTTGTCTCCACATGCTTCCTTGTATCCTTCGCACTTGCCCTATCTGTTCCTCAAGCAGATGCGGAATCTTCCCTGGAAACATAAGATGTTGAAGATGAGTACTCGAGAGCAATGCCAGGTAAGTAATCAGGTAAGGGGTTCCAGGCAGTCAGTTCCTGGCTGGAAGCTTGATTCCAAGTGCTGACTGATTGCTCTCTTTCTCCTTGTCTTGCCGGTAAAAACAAGGCCAAAAGAAAAAACAGGGAAAAAGCATGATATGGGATACTCTTGCTTTTAACCCTGATGATATGAGATATTCTTGCTCTAGTATAGCTTGTTTGCAGAGGTATTATCGGGGGGAAAGAAAGCTGAATATTTCGAAAGGCTTTGTTGGGAGTGCCCTATCAGATATGATGAAGGGTTGAGCATTTTTGCAGGTCTGCCTGTCCGTTGGGGATGGAGGTCGACATATATAGGAGTCTCCCTAACAACAAGTAGTAATGCTATTCCTTTACCCTGCTTGGTCATAGCACGGTAGTGGGAGCTGCCAGTTTCACATGTTTTAACTCTGTCAGAGCACTTTGAAAAAGTGGTCTGTGGTATCTGGCTCTCGAGATTCGGAGAACGATGCCTCTTCGATTTTTGAGAAAGCAATCATGTTGGGGGTCTGACTCTCGAGATTCGGAGAGCAGTGTCTCTTCGATTTTTGAGGAAGTAATCATGTTGGGAGTCTGGCTCTCGAGATTCGGAGGGCGGTGCCTCTTCGATTTTGGAGCAAGCAATCTTGTTGGGAGTGTTGTCTCGAATGTGAGTAAAGGTTGGACATGTTTGCTAGTCTACCTTGCCACGAAGCACAAAGGTTGACACATAGGGACTTTCCAATTATCCAGCAATGGTACTGTTCCTTTACCCTCTCTTCGATTTTGAGAAAGTAATCATGTTGGGAGTCTGGCTCTCGAGATTCGGAGGACGGTGCCTCTTCGATTTTGGAGCAAGCAATCTTGTTGGGACTGTTTTCTCGAATGTGAGTAAAGTAAAGGTTGGGCATGTTTGCTAGTCTACCTTGCCACGAAGCACAGAGGTTGACACACAGGGACTTTCCAATTATCCAGCAGTGGTACTGTTCCTTTACCCTTGTGGGTAATAATATGGTAGCTAGACCTTCAAAATTTATGTGTCTAAACTTTGTTAGTGCTGTTTCTTTGCTATTCTTTTACCTTTCTTGGTCAGAGCGATGTAGTGGGAGCTGCAAGCTTCACGTGCTCAACTTTGGCAAAGAACTTTGGCAAAGTGATCTGTGGTACCCATGAGTTATTGTTGCGTGTGGAAGTGGGTGATTGAACAGTAAGATTCATGTGCTTTCTACTTCACCAGAAGTCTTCGACAGAATGCCCATAATTTCTGCAAAGCTGAGCTGAGTGTGCGTGTGACAGGTGCTGACAAGGCTAGAAAAGTAGGTGCCTCTTTGATTTCTGAGATCGGCCCTCGTGGTCTCTGAGCAGCCCAGCTTTTGAGAAAGCGAGCGCCTCTTCGATTGATTCGGAGAACGGTGCCTCACCGATTTTTGAGAAAGCAATCATGTTGGGGGTCTGGCTCTCGAGATTCGGGGAGCAGTGTCTCTTCGATTTTTGAGAAAGTAATCATGTTGGGAGAGTGGCTCTCGAGATTCGGAGGGCGGTGCCTCTTCGATTTTGGAGCAAGCAATCTTGTTGGGAGTGTTTTCTCGAATGTGAGTAAAGGGTTGGGCATGTTTGCTAGTCTACCTTGCCACGAAGCACAGAGGTTGACACACAGGGACTTTCCAATTATCCAGCAATGGTACTGTTCCTTTACCCTCTCTTCGATTTTTAAGAAAGTAGTCATGTTGGGAGTCTGGCTCTTTAGATTCGGAGGACGGTGCCTCTTCGATTTTTGGAGCAAGCAATCTTATTGGGAGTGTTTTCTCGAATGTGAGTAAAGGTTGGGCATGTTTGCTAGTCTACCTTGCCACGAAGCACAGAGGTTGACATACATGGACTTTCCAATTATCCAGCAGTGGTACTGTTCCTTTACCCTTGTGGGTAATAATATGGTAGCTAGACCTTCAAAATTTATGGGTCTAAACTTTGTTAGTGCTGTTTCTTTGCTATTCTTTTACCCTTCTTGGTCAGAGCGATGTAGTGGGAGCTGCAAGCTTCACCTGCTCAACTTTGGCAGAGAACTTTGGCAAAGTTATCTGTGGTACCCATGAGCTATTGTTGCGTGTGGGAAGTGGGTGATTGAACAGTAAGATTCATGTGTTTTCTACTTCCCCAGAAGTCTTTGACAGAATGCCCATAATTTCCGCAAAGCTGAGTGTGCGTGTGACAGGTGCTGACAAGGCTGGAAAAGTAGGTGCCTCTTCGATTTCTGAGATCGGCCCTCGTGGTCTCTAGGGAGCCCAGCTTTTGAGAAAGCGAGCGCCTCTTCGATTTCTGAGATCGGCCTTCGTGGTCTTTGAGCAGCCCAACTTTTGAGAAAGCAAACGGCTCTTCGATTTCTGAGATCAACCCTCGTGATCTCTAAGCAGCCCAACTTTTGAGAAAGCAAACGCCTCTTCGATTTCTGAGCAGGCGCCTCTTTGATTTCTGAAGCTCCGTCGAGTGCAGATTTTTATAGGGGCTGGCATTAAGTTCCAAAGCACACTTGAATCTCCACCAGTAGAAGCTTCATTCTTGCACTTCTAAGATCTTGATTTGTCCGACCTCTTCTCTCTTCAACACCTTTGATTTTTGAAAATGTCTTTGGCCCCGACCCGTTTTGACGTTTTGACTTGAACCTTGTTGAAGAGGCAGCCCCGCCTTCTCCAGACAACATATGGCGCCCATCCTCGTCTTCGTCTTCCCAACTGGTCCCTCTTACCGTTGGGGATTCCGTGATGAAGAATGATATGACCGCTGAGGTGCTGCGGTGGTGGCCAGGAACCTTCTCACTCCCAAAGATAACAGACTACTTTCCAAACGGTCTGATGAGTTAGCTGTTAAGGATTCGCTGGCTCTCAGTGTTCAGTGTGCAGGTTCTGTGTCTAATATGGCACAACGCCTATTTGCTCGAACCCGCCAAGTTGAATCATTGGCGGCTGAAGTGATGAGTCTCAAACAGGAGATTAGAGGGCTCAAGCATGAGAATAAACAGTTGCACCGGCTCGCACATGACTATGCTACAAACATGAAGAGGAAGCTTGACCAGATGAAGGAAACTGATGGTCAGGTTTTACTTGATCATCAGAGAGATTTGTGGGTTTGTTCCAAAGGCATTTATTGCCTTCGTCTTCTGGGGCTGTACCGCGTAATGAAGCTCCAAATGATCAACCTCTGATGCCTCCTCCTTCTAGGGT